AAAACAAAACACCTCCCAAAAAAAAAAAAAAAATTTTACTGGCAAAACATCAAATGAGACAGGGTCAGTCAGATGGAGTCCAGGCCAGCTGGGTTGGATGGCGGCCACCAAGTGCTTGGAAGACGAAATCTTCAGCTCAGCCCTGGGACAAGATGTGCGTGTTCCTTTGTGACGATCCCTGCTCAGTGCTACGGCCACGAGGAAGAAGTCTGGTTTTCTTTGCTTCCCATGGCCAGGAGATGTGTGGAGCTGTTACTTGCCAGGCTCCTGGATTAAACTGTGCAGGTGGATCTCTGCTGTCTCCTGGGGCAGGTGAATGCCTTGCAGCCAAGAATGGTTGAAAATGTCTTCCAAAGCCGGCCTGTCCGAGGGGCGCGTGGACAAACACCACCTGATGAGGTGCTGGCACTCTGCAGAGAGAAACCAGAAACCACCGGTCAGTCAGAGCAGGTTCTTGTCCTCCTTGAGCACTGTCTGCAGTGCCCAGGCCACGCTGGTTGCGCTCAGAGCCGCACCCAAACCTCCCAACCCATCGCGCATTTTGGGGGGGAGCAGGAGAGCAGGACGTGTGCCACCTCCTCCAGCTTCACCACGGGAGCTCGACCCCATCCACAGCCACAAAAGCAGGAGGCTCGTGTGCTCGGTGCCGCCTCCCAAACCCCGTTATCCCCCCTGGCCGTGAAGCCACCTAGAGACACCCGCCGCCGGAATAAGAGCTGTCCCCGGATGATGTCCTCGTCCTGCTCGAAGGGGATGTTCCCGCAGACCATGTCGTAGAGCAGGATGCCCAGGGACCAGACGGTGCTGGGGCCGCCATGGTAGTAGTTGTAGCACAGCCATTCCGGGGGTTTGTGCGTTCCTGCGGGAGACAGACGGAGCTCATCAGGCGGACGCCGCCCGCTCCCGGGTCCTCAGCCCCAGCATCCCCAGGGATTCAGGGGGGACACACACGGTGACATGGGGTGACCCGCCACCCCCTCGCCAACACGTGACTCTTGTTTACAAACTTTGGGTAGTAAAACGCAGCCGCCGGTGCCGGAAGAGGGCAGCACGGGCCCGGGGAAGGCCCGACCGTTCCACGCAGAGAAAAACCAACCCAAGGGTGGGGAAAAACCACGCCTTGGCCAAAAAAAGGGCCACGGAAAAAAAGGCCCCCGGGGGGGGGGGGGAACCCCCCCCCAGCCACGCCGGGCCGGGCGATGCCCGGTACCGGGCAGCATCCTCCCCAGGTCTCCAGGCTCACCCTGAAATTTGGTGTAGGCCGTCTCCTGGAGCAAGGTGCCGCAACCGAAGTCGATGAGCTTGAGCTCACCGGTGGCCAGGTCCACGATGATGTTCTCGGCCTTGATGTCGCGGTGCAGGACGCCGCAGTTGTTGCAGTGCCGCAC